TGTCACGTTCAAAATGGAGTAAGTCACCCTGATCGAACCACTCTATATCTATATTGCTTGTGTGGATCTTATCTTTATATTTACTGCATTTATTACATATATTAATTACTCGACAGGTGGTGTATAAATTCACTCTTGTGCATCATCACTACTCCTTGCCTTTTTTTGTCTCTGGTTTCTTTGCTCAATGTAAGACAGAGGGTATAAAATATAATTATGCCCCCAATCCAGGATATGAAGCCGCCACTTTATTTAACTCACTATCAAGTAGTAGGGGAGCAACTTGGGCGGACCAACCTGAACCCAATTCAAGAAAAATAGGGTTTGAGTTGAAGTTTTTAATACTTGGGTTAGACCTGAACAGAAAAATACTTACCCGATTTAATTCGGGCAGTACTCAGGGTCAGGCTTTGGGTTACTTCAACTCAAATATATAAATCTAGCTCAACTCGAATTTTAAATCGGGCTCAACCCAAACATATTTAAAAATAAATATATAAATCATTTATCAATATAACTTACAAGTTAAAACACTAGGGATCAATCTTCTAGCTCAGTCTTATGTTAAACATTTGGTTATTACGTCTTTATGTTAAACATTAATTTTAATGTTTTAAATANGCTCTTTTCTCCGGCGGTTCACTCTGACTTCAAAAAGGTAATAGATTTGACCTTTTATGTATAGATTTGATGGAGATAAATCTGGCTACGGACGAACACATGACCAGCACATGCTGGCAGTCACATGCAAGGCGTGAAGGATGGAGTCCGATACGAAGACCGAGCTCCAACCTCGGATAGCTCACCTATATACCTTGTTTTTAGCTTAAACCAATTCCAGGTATTTGGGGAATGAGGTTCCACATTCCTGGCCGTCGGAGCGAAGCCAGAAATTATGTCTAGGACGGGTACTTTATTAAAAAATTTTAATTTTTTAATTCTAATCAATAAAAATAAAATAATATATTCACATTTAGTATACTATATTCGATATTTAAAAATTCATAAAATACAAAAAAGATGAAACTTTGATAAATATAGCATACATAAATAAAAATAAACAAAAAAGATAGGCTAATTATTCTCTTTCATAACAAATGAAATAAACTGTATAAAAGATACTATAATATTTCTCTATATATATGATCAAACTATTAGTCATTGATAACTCAAAAATTCTATAGCTTTTTTTTAATTGGAATCTCTATAGTTTTAAAAAAATGAGTTTGACATGTCAAAAACTTTTATAGTTGTATCTCTAAAGTGTCCAAAGTGTGTCCAAAAAATCATAATTATTCAAGTACGGGGACTATACTAATTGATAAAACAAAAAATAATAGAGTTGACACACTTAAATATACTTCAAATTATTTAAAATATACATAAATAATATTTTTAAAAAAAATTGAGGGTGGGG